GTTTATAATGGACAGACTATTTGTTTCTTAGAAAGTGTATACTCAATTGAGGTAGGGTTGGATGGTTACTCAACATAATATACAAGAATAGAGATTAAGGTGGATTAGGCATAAGCGTAATGTTTGTTAAAAAAAGAATAATAACCCCCATATATGTGTGTGTGTGTGTGTATGTTTATTGGAGCTGCGGTGGCTCAGAGGTTAAGACGCTGAACTGCAGGCTGTGGAAGGTCGGTAGTTCAGCAGTTCGAGACCCGGGTGCCGCATGACGGAGTGAGCTCCCGTCTCTGGCCCCAGCTCCTGCCAACCTAGCAGTTCGAAAGCAAGACATTGCAAGGAGATAAATAGGTACCGCTCTGGTGGGAAGGTAACAGTATTCCGTGTACCTTGGTGTTTAGTCATGCCGGCCACATGACCACGGAAACGCCTTCGGTCAGCGCTGGCTCTTCGGCGTTGAAACGGAGATGAGCCTTTACCTTTTTAATGTATGTTTATATGTTTATTTTGTGTTTGTGCAAAACGTGAAAATTTCAATAAAATTCTTTTTAAAAATGACAATACAAAAGAGCACAGTAACATCCAGTTCCAATGGTTCCCTCTAAGCTGTGGAGTCTCGTGAGCAAAAATTCTGCTTTGTGAGTGACTGGCATGAAAGTTGTGAGCGAGCGATTTGGCTCCTGCATAAATTAGTTGGCTCTGGAGCCACATCCTTCCTGAGCGAAGACAAAAATGTGCGAGCCGGAGGCTAAAAAACTGCGCTAGCTCACACTGACTCGTCTTAGCGGGAACACTGGTTGTGACGTGCACTGCAAGAGGATTGCAAGTGGATTATTTAGGCCCAGTCTGCATCTAGCATTCGCTCCGCTGTTTTACCAAACCCACGTTGGAGCAGAGATTCCCCTCTACGTTGCACGCCACGGTCACTTCCTTTGATTGTCGGATTTTATGGTAGCCTCCACACTGCATGCGGGTTCCACTCTCTTTGATCTCTCGGTTTTATGGTAGCCCTCTGCATAGATTTAATGGCTGTTTTACAGCCATTCAGGGGTGACTCTGCAGTCAATGCAGCATTGGCCCAGGGCAGTGTTCCCTCTAAGCTGAGTGAGTGTGAGCCAGCTCACAGTTTTTTAGCCTCCGGCTCACACATTTTTGTCTCAGCTCAGGAAGGATGCCTCGCTCACAACTTTAATGCCCAGTAGCTTACAAAGTTTCATTATCTGTAAGGCCAGATAATGAAACTGAAGCTCACCCAATGAGAAGGGAGCCCTCACTGGAGAAGAAGACCCTGATGCTGGGAAAGACTGAAGGTCAAAGAAGACGGGGACGGCAAAGGATGAGATGGTCAGACAGTGTCATCGATGCAACGAACATGAAATTGAGCAAACTTCAGAGGACAGCGGAAGACCGGAAGGCCTGGCGTGATCTGGTCCATGGGGTCGCGAAGAGTCGGACTCGACTGTGCGACTGAACAACAAAAGCTCACAAAGTAGAATTTTTGCTCACAGGACTCCACAGCTTAGAGGGAGCCTTGGCCCGGGGTGTTTGAATGTGGTTTTGAGCCGCATCTTTTTCTGTCCCAGTGTGGGTTTGGTAAAACAGCGGAACAAATGCTAGATGCAGAATGGGCCTTAGTGTGCGTGGCCGCAGCCAACGTGTCTCCTGGTGGAATGGCTGTGGTTTCAGCCCGCGAAGGCTATTTTCCTTGCTGGTTCTTCTTTTTAGTTTGAAGTTCAGAAAACGAACAGCCGCACGAGCCGACGAGGGCTGTGCTGGTTGTCCTCCTCCGGCCTCCACGATGTAGCCTTTGAGATAGCTCTTATTCGTGTAAAGCTAGTCCTGTTTGGCAGAGTCCATTTCCCTTGACCGTAGTTGCTTCTTTCTCTGCGGAATTGATCCCATAGCTAAACCTGAGACCCGAATGCTGTGCGGCTAAGTAGATGAGGTTATGCAGGGACGGTGAGCGAGGGCATTCAAGGACATTTTTATTTATTTATTGACATATTTCAACAGCATGTTTCCTCTTGGCTCAAGATGGATTGCAAATTATCCTGGATACAAGATCAATTATTCCGTGCTCCAGTCCAAAAGCATAGTAAATAGACCGCCACCTTGAACCATGAGGAAAGGTGGGGTATAGATGTTTTAAGAAATTAATTCATAAAAATTAACCCGGCTGTTGCATCCCATCCACAAAAGGCTTCCAAGGCAAGAGACATCCAGAGGGTGGTCTGCCATTGCCTGCTTAGCTTCCAAGATCTGAAAAAATGGCAGGCGAAAAGCGGAAGCCTCGGGGAGTTCCCGAGTGGGGAGGGGGTTTAAATCGGAAGTGGCTCGACACCGGAGGAGCGATCACACAGGAGGGAAGTGTGGCTTTAAACGGGAGAGCTGAGAAAACACCACTTGGGGACCTGGTATCAAAATACTCCGGGTTAAAGCGGTTTTGAGCCGGAAACCAACGGCTGGGGACGGGAGGCAGATGTTGACGGTGTGGTCGTGCAGATAAAATCCGTTGTGGAACTGTCACGACACCAGGTCAAACGGCGCGTCTGAACGCACCCATAGAGAAACCTGAGTCTTTATCACTGTTGGGGAGTGCACAGTCTCAAACAAGGGTTTGCTGGCTCTTAGAAGCCAGTGCAAAGGGAGAGAAAGGGCTGCCTTGATTCCCCAATGCTACCCCGCACAAGTGCCCCTCCAAAATTCTGCCTGCCCAAGATTTGTGGGTTGGCCCCTAGAGGGAGCCTGTATGGGCCCAGTTAAGTTTCACTGGTCTCGGTGAACTGGACTGGGGTGTGTGGGTAGGGGGGTCTGTATACTGTCTCCAGCATGCTCTTCTCACACGGAACCTCTTTTCAAAAGGCTTCTCTCGCCATACCACTTAGGAAGCATGTAACGCAAAGGCAGCATTTTGAAGACCTCTGTGATAACAGCGGCTTTCTGTTTATGCTTCCAGCCTGCGGGAAAACTCCATCAGCCAGGAGGGAGCGTGTGAAGTAGCCCGTGCCCTTCGAGCAAACGGCACGCTGAGAAATTTGGAGTGAGTCACTTGGTCTTATACGTGGTCTCTCAGTCATCTTTTGCCCACCTTAAGAAGCATTAAGACATGTTACCAGCTCATGCGCTTAAAATTTGGGGATGTAAGGCACAGGCAGATGGGATGGGTCTCTGAGAGAGGCACTGGGGAGGAGATTTTAAGAAGGTCACGTATAGGAGAGGGAATTTTGGCAGTGCACTGTGTGATTATTTCTCTTGGGTTCCTTCCATTTGGGGCCGGCGTCAGCATGTGCTGTGGTGGGGCAGTCACCAGGGCCCAGGACTTCTGGCAGGTCCCACTGCAATCGACGCTCCCTGCTCACTTATTTGCTAGTGCTCCATTGCGTTCCCTGGGCCCGTAACCTACTAGATTCTCTGGTTTGGTATAGCCAGGAACCATTAGCAAGTTAGCAGAGCCCACAAGGCTTAGAATCCTAGAAGCACAGAGTCGGAAGGGGCCGTATGGGCCATCTAGTCCAACCCCCTGGCTCAATGCAGGACCAGCCTAGAGCATCCCTGACGAGTGTTTGTCCAGCCGCTGCTCAAAGACTGCCAGGGAGGGGGAGCTCGCCACCTCCCGAGGCAGCTGATTCCACTGCTGCACAACTCTGACTGACCAAAAGGTTTTCCTAATATCCAGCCGGTACCTTCCCGCCCTGAATTTAAACCCATGATTGCGAGTCCTCTCCTCTGCTGCCAACAGGAGCAGCTCCCTGCCCTCCTCCAAGTGACAGCCCTTCAAATCCTTCAAGAGAGCCATCCTGTCCCCCCTCAGCCTCCTCTTCTCCAGCCCTTCAAATCCTTCAAGAGAGCCATCCTGTCCCCCCTCAACCTTCTCTTCTCCAGGCTGAACATTCCCAAGTCCCTCAGCTTTTCCTCAGAGGGCTTGGTCTCCAGGTCTCATAGGACTTACCAGGCAGCAAAGCGTCTCTTGTCTCTGTGTGTGTGCTGATAAGAAACAAAATTACACAGAACCCCTTTATTTATAGAACTCCATTTTAGACAGGATAGGGTCAGGATAGTAGTCTGACCTAACTAACTAGGATGGATGCAGATGCAGGATGCATGTCCTGCACCAAGTTGGAGAGATCTGGAAAAGTGTGTGCAAGAGAGACAGAAGGTGTCAGAAGAGAAGGAAGTCGTTCCCTAATAGCAATCTACATCAAAGGGATAGTATCAGAGAGAAGGATGGTCAGTGTCCTGAGCCCGTCTATCTCTCTGACTCTATCGTAACCCCCTCTGAACGCTGAGGCTAAGAGTTTGGTGTAGTGGTTAAGAGTGCAAACTCTAATCTGGGAGAACCGGGGTTTGATTCCCCACTCCTCCACATGCAGCCAGCTGGGTGACCTTGGGTCAGTCACCAGTTCTCCCAGAGCTGTTCTCTCAAGAGCAGTCCTCGAAAGAGCTCTTCCAGCCCCACCTACCGCACAGGGTGTCTGTTGTTGGGGAGGGGAAGGAGATTGTCAGCTGCTCTGAGACCCCGAGTAAAGGTCTCTTCTCCTCTTCTTCCAACACTGGGGTTGCACAAGAAGTGGGGAGCGCTTAGAAGTGGGCCAGGGAAGGACGCCCAGGCAGGTGGGAGGCATGCAGGTGGGCGGGGAGGGAAGGGAGAGCATGTTTCAGGGCCTGGTGGTGGGTAGAAGAGGGAAGGGGGCCCTGGGAACCCTCTGTCCAAAGCCCTCCCACCAAACCTGGAACTGGCCCCGCTGAATAGCGATGAACATCCTCGCTTCTCAGGGGGAGACCGTCAGCAACAGAACCTGGCCAAACAGGGCCGATTCTATGGGGACGTCAACGGTCAGTTTGGTCAGGAGGCTAACGAAGGAGCCGAGGATGGGGAGGGAGTGGGGGGGGCTGCACTGTTGGAAGGCGAGACGGCTCAGAAGAGACATTCGGCCGCGGAGCAGGATTTCAAGGCAAGGACCCAGGGCGAAGGTGGCGGCCTGGGAGGAATAAAGTCAGGCGAGAAGCGGCGTGGAGGAAGGACAGGCTGCAGGGAAGCCTACTGTGGGACCCAGAGGCAGGAGGGGCAGAGGTAGAAGCCCAAATCCCCCCCCCCGCTGTGACACTGGAGCTCACC